CAAAGTTTCCACGTTGTTTACAAGGCACCGGCTAATCAACCCAGATCAGTACAGCAGCGCACAATTACAGTGGCTGAAGCTATCACCATACGACATCGCGACCCGATCCTTTGTCGGCAAAAACGCTTTGTTCGTGTGTTGTACTTACCGTGGTCCAACTCACCTGCCGTCACACATGCACCTTGTGCTGAACACACAACTACAGCACCCCCCGAGCTGACTAACTCAAGTCATCCTATTGGTGACCTGTACTAATGGTTCTTTGATAGGTAGCCAATGTCATCTCACTCGATTCCCTGTCCATTTATACTGCTCTCTTAACCTTTTCAATTATATGACTTGAAAAGACCTTGCCGAAAACACGTTAGTCAACCCACCTGTGTTCTTATTATAGATGGGAATGCCATGCAAATTTTTGTTACTTCTTCAACGAACCTGATAGGTATCCTGTTGCTGTGTTGTGTACAAGTGTGACCAACCTACTCCTATGATCTGTACTGGCTAGTTACGTCAACCCATGTCAAATCGAGTCGAGTCGAGAAGAGCTTTGAAGAGAAATTCCATCTCAGGTGGAGAACCATATGGAAAAATGAGAAACTGAAAGATAACCCGGAGACTTAGCTGCTGAAAGTAGAAGTCGGTTGGAATTTGAGCTAAGATCCACAGGGAGATGTTTTGACGGACGTACTGTATCGTACAATGAGGCGAGAATGCTTCTAATCACTCCGACAGGAATACTACAGTAAACTCACTGCGGAAGAGTGTGTGAAGTACAGAAAACTTTATTAGGGACTCTGGGATACTTTTAGACTTTTGAGATTGCGAGTAACAGTAAAATCCGCGTACCGAACATGAACAGACTGCCTATGGGTATTCGAACTGGTTAGTCTAAAGAAATACGAAGGTAATTGGCACTGACGGAAGAAAGGTTACTGACCAAGTCGATGCACAGATTTCGCTGAATGAATGAGAATCCGTCATCGTTTCTCGATTCATAGTTCACTGCATGTGGATCCTACAGCGTTCATGGATTTGACGTAATGAAATTTGGGAAGTACGCGTGGAGCACGAACAACGAGAAACCTCACCAAAAGTCCTTCTTGGAAGTAGCTAGGTGCTTCGCATCTACCCGGATTTTGTAGACGTCCAAGGTTCGTGAATATCGCACCGCCAACTGAGCTTCTAAACTTGACGGACAAGGGAACAGTGACAGTCTGTCAATGTACAAATTAGGCGAATCAGTTATTCCCCTTCATCGCGTTTTTCTTCGTTGGAGCGCACCCCAAGCAAACAAAAGTACCCTCATTCGCACAAAGGGACAGCTGAATCCAGCTCAAACTCTCGTCTAAGCAACAGCAACGTATTGCGATATGTCGAACATCCTCTCACGTGAAATACGAGGCGGCCTTGGACTGTCGAATAGTTTTCAGCAACCTTATGAGTAGTGTATTACGTCCCCATGCCCTGCAAGAGATTTCGTCCTGTGGTCTATGGTGGAAAGCAGCAGAAAGTTCTGCATCCCCTTCTTTATCTCTGTTGTGAATCGTCAGCAGTGTGTGTCTCACATAACTCAGAAAATTTCCGGACGTCAATTTCCGGTCAGTGGATGAACACCCAAACAGCGACTGATCAGCTGTGTGATCCGATCTCGTTTTCACTTTTACTGACCGAATGTTTTGCGGTTCGTTTTAGGATAAAATGACAGCACTAGTAAGTCTACTGCTCCGCACAACTATCCAGGACAGTTAGCCACATGACGTATAGAAATCAGGAAGAAAAACTTCTGAAAAGCATTAGTCGTATCGGCGATAAACACGGTGACAATCAAGGCTTTGAACACGCAGACATGAAAACACATGGTCCAGCTGTCCTTTGGTCAGGAACAAACAAGCCATTCTGTAACTTCCTGTCAGGAACGGTCTCGGACCGACTGGAGCTCCGCCAAACTAAAACCGACCTGATAGGCATATCACAAAAAACATTGGGCACCGTATGAGATGCAATTATACAGTGGATAAATCAAAACACATACTTGTATGGTGTGTGTGTGTGTGCGTAAAAGGCTCCGTAATGTATCGTCTGACAAGCATACTTCAAAGGCTGTCTAGTAAATGAGGTTCGTTGGTCCATAAATTCACAAAGTAAATCAAGTCATAAGTGATATATAACCTGACAAAACTTCACCACACAGTGACACAGTCATACTTATTTTTTCTTGGCTTGATGAAACTGTATATGAGTCGCTTGTTCAGTCTGTGAAATAGCTCTGGTACTTGGACAGCGAGTTGTATGGGGATTCTACTACTATCTGTAATTTTAGTGTGTCATTCTTGAGGACCCGATTAATACTCCATCAGGTTCCCGATAGAAATCTGCAGCTCTTAGAATCAAGCTGCCTGAATTAGGGAATAACCGTGGTTTTATTTGATTGCGAGAAATAAAACTAAGTTTAAAAACTGCTTAAATTTGTTTGATGGATCATGCATGACATGGTTGACGTTGAATCATTGAACTTTACGAGATCAATAATTTTTCGTTGTACCGTAACTTTGCTTTGGTCTAAAACTGTAAGCAGCCTATACTATCATCAAGGAAACTACTCACAAGGTTGCTGAAAACTCTTCGACAGCCCACGATCGGTTTCGCCCTTCCAGTTCGGGCTCATCAGGTAGGCACAGTTCCCGAGTTTCCGTCAAGCTTATGTTCTACTTGAAACCCAAAATGGACTGTTTTCGCGAAATACACTCATTCGCAAATCCACTTGGTTTTTCACGACAGACTCAACTGAATCTCTCGTTTATGATACTCTACAGCTGAATGTGCTGCACGCAGGCCGCCTCATGATTCAGCTGGCACTATATTTTAGAGATCGCTGTATATTTTCATGGAGGAAACTACTCACGAGGTTGCTGAAAACTCTTAGACAGCCCACTACCGGTTTCACCCTTCTTGGGGCACATTCGGTTGTAGAATATCATAAACGGGAGATTCACTTGAGTTTCTCGTGAAAACCAAATTAATTTGCAACTCGGCCTATACTACTTTTTTGTCATGAACTGCACCAAAACGAAAGCGATAGGAAGTAGGACTAAGAAAGATAAGAGATCTTACGTTCCACTGAAATGGAACAAGTCCACTAACTGCAGAAATTTAGATCTGTCTACTGCTACAGTACTCCTATGGATGATTGTAAACCACCAACCCTTTTTAAATAAGTTGCCCCATTGCAATGCTTTTTCCTTAAAAAATCAGTCAAAGGGGCTCCTGAAAGTTTAAGATACCTTGGAGGTGGATGCACTGGTGGTCAGCTGAGTGAAATAAGATGAACTATTCCGATGCTTGTCTATTCGGAATGCAGAAGATGTACCTGTACGCATTTGAGTTAGTCATGTGACCACCAATGCCTCATACGGCAACAACGGAAGCTTGACAACGAAAGCTTGACAGGGTTGTTTCAAAAAGTCAATGAAATAACCCCCAGCCCCATATTAGACGCCCCCTATTTTCCCGTTCGCCACTGGCAGTTGTTCATTGTTTCACAGACGCTTTGGTTGAGTTTGAAATGCCTTCATGTGGTGCAAAGAAGCAGTCAGCATAACAGCGCTTTTTTCGGACTCTGAGGGCTTTGAATTTGACAAGCAGATATAACATCTCATTGCGGGCAACCTATTATTTACCACAATAATGAAAATGAATATTCTTTTTGGATTCGTTTTCAACAGAACTTAATTAACTACTAACAGTAATTTGTGATACCCACAATGAATTCTTAGGCTGAGTTCACTGAGCTGAATCTTGAGCATGCTTTTCGTAGGTTGACCGTGGAGAGAGATCAGACATAAGAAAAGTATTATTGTCTCCGAGGATGAGACTCGGAGATGAGATTCATTAGCGGCAGTAGACGAATGGTAATTTTATTGGAGATCTCGCCCTGTAAATGAAACCGGTCTATGCTGAAAAGCCGAGAAGCACTGCTCAGCTGTTTCATCCTTACTGGGAATCAAGAGCCGTGTGTGCATCTCACGGAACTTTGATAGAGGGTTTCAAAATCGTGACAATTCGACCATGAGCAACCAGTCATCAGTGTGACTAACTCACACTTGGGCAGTATACAGCTCCACTGATCACTCAGTCACGGAATCCACTTTACGTGGTCACGCGCTGGCTGGCTCCTCGAGTGACGACCCATCCAATGTTGTCCCGCCATCGGAACTACACAGAGTGACAATAACACACTGTACCCTTTGCTCCTGAATACTTCAGTTTCACTAAAGTTGTACTACTGATTTCGCTCCATCCATAAATCAGCTGCATTCAGATGGCCAAAGTATCGAACTGAATGTGTAACTTTTAGCTACAGTAGTACAATTGATACAGCAAGTGATATTCAGTTTGCTAATAGAATGTCACTTTGTGGTGGAGAATGAAAAATGTATCTGTGTTTAACCAGGCCTTGCATCTAGACATCTGGTGGAACGAACTCAAAGACTCTTGTGCAGTTTTCCACACTTGAGCTATTCAGAGCGGAAAATAACTTGGTCCGAAGTAGGTCACATCCTACACAGGATAGCAGAGCATCTCATCGGTCAACAGAAATTCTACAGCGTGATATTACCTGGGAATCCGGCTAGACTGATATTCCTATTATTGACGTCGTACTCTGCTACATCTAACTGCTGTTCGCACTCCAGTGTCTGGTACTAGAAAGAACTCACCGACTAGGGTACACAGCAGCTTTATTCCAAACAAGCGAGTGCGAATTACAACGGGTAAGCAGCCTATGCTATCATCAAGGAAACTACTCACAAGGTTGCTGAAAACTCTTCGACAGCCCACGATTGGTTTCGTCCTTCCACTTCGGGCTCATCAGGTAGGCACAGTTCCCGAGTTTCCGTCAACCTTATGTTCTACTTGAAACCAAAATTGGACTGTTTTCGAGAAATACACTCATTTCACGAGAGACTCAGCTGGATCTGTCGTTTATGATATTCTACAAATGAATGCGCTGCACACAGGCCGCCTCATGTTTCAGCTGGCACGATATTCGAGATATCGCAGTATATTTTCATAAAGGAAACTACTCACAAGTTTGCTGAAAACTCTTAGACAACCCACGACCGGTTTCGCTCTTCTTGGGGTACATTCAGTTGTAGAATATCATAAACGAGATATTCGGCTGAGTCTCTCGTGAAAACCAAATTGATTTGCAACTCAGCCTGTACTAATTTTTTGTCATGAACTGCACCAAGACGAAAGGGATAGGAAGTAGGGCTAAGAAAGATGAGAGATCTTACGTTCCACTGAAATGGAACAAGTCCACTTACTGCGGAAATTTAGATCTGTCTACTGCTGTAGTATTCCTATGGATGATTGTAAACCACCAACCCTTTTTAAATGAATAAGTTGCCCCCATTCCAATACATTTTCCTCGCTGTTGAAATTTTCAAAGGCATATCCGATCAGCAATGGTTTGTTCAATCGTATAAAATTAATCATATTTCCTAGAATGGTGTATTGCACTCCCAGAAAACTAGCTTTTCGTCTTTTAGAGTCCAAATGAAGAAAGTACGGGGTGATATATTGGGAACCACAGGTTCGATCAATCACAAAGTTCTATCTCAGACGTGGGCGTACGACATTTTTGCTGTGGAAATCATATACGTTATGCCCTCCCGGACCCGATTTCTCCTTTGTCATTCGACAATTCTGTCAAACGCAAGTCACTTTCAACCGGAGGTATCGCCTTTGTGAACACGTGATTTCACCCATTCATTCGGTTTCGCTCGGATGTTTGTGGAATGTTTGCAACATTTCTTGTCGCATCAGATGACCGAAGGCTTCAGTGATATCGGTGACCTTCGGTACCAAAATCTACCAAGTGGATCATACGGTGGTCGGAGGAACTGCGCGGAAACTCCATGAAGCTATATTGTTATATTCAGATAGAATTGATTCTCAGCGAATATACACTCATTTGCAAACTAATTTGGTTTTGCGAGAGAATCACCTGGAACCCAGCTGAATCTCTCGTTTGTGATGTTCTCAGGCAACTGAATGTGCTGCACCAGACCGCCTCATGTTTCAGTCGCTACGATATTCGAGATATCGCGAAATATGTATTTCTTTGTAATGTACTACTCATAAGGTTGCTGAAACACCATCGACGGATTTACAGCATCCTTATGAATAGTACATTACAAAGAATTGATTATCCTTCATAGTGAGAAAGAATGCTTTGCCGATTCTGCACACAAGTCCCAATGTTCAATGTAACTGAGTGACTCTCATCGTGCTACATGAGCGATGTCCAAAATTTGTCCTGCTCTTGTCAACTGATGTAAATTCACATTCACCTTTGTTGATCATTTTACCGTCCTGGTGCTCGTGAAGTTTCGGGGTCACTTCACGAGGAGCCCTCTACTCGCCGTCACATTTGTCTTGCCAGTGAGGACCACAATTTGGTAGATACTGAGCCTAACCAGGTGCCGTGTTTTCTATCCAAAGGCCCAATAAACTTAGTCATTTGTACCTATTCTAACCGCCTAACGATAGTACCACTCACACTAGATTTGTTGTACCTCATACGTCTCACCAACCGCATCATTGCCCTCTGTACACACTGACCTCCCGCTAGGGTTCATATTCTAGTAGGATCAATAAAAGTCACTGATAGTGAGCTCTAACAAGGGCTGCACTCGAATCAGTTGGTTGCTCTGCTAAGTGTGGACTCATCGGAGTAATTGTACCGGGAGTGAAGTAGGAATGCTCAAGCGAGACCGAGTAGGAGCTTCCCCCACCTCCAATACTGTTCCCAGACAGCTGAGAAAACCCTTTGTCACTGAGGTGAAGTATTTTCAGCCCCATAGACATCCTTGATTCTACCCATCCTAACCTCCTTATTACTCCTTATTATATCTGAGTGTGAATCGAATCACAGCCCCTCCTTCCTAGCTATAATTCTTCGTAAACGTACCGACAGGTTCTGTCTACTGCAAGTGAATGTCCAGCAGCCACCATTTACAGTTCAATAGCTCAGAAGCGCGGGATGGTGAAAGGGGGAAGGCCTTCACTGCGGAGTTATTTATTAGAAAATACCAACTGACCGGTTACAGACCA